GGATAGTGTGCCCCTTTATTACAATTGTACATGGCAAACTCACCTGTTTAACCTTTATTAATACCTAAAGGTGGCAATGTGGCTTTCACTAACAAGCGACAGCTGTTACATACTGCCACATTCAGAGGTACATCGATACCTCTGAGCCCGGGGCCTTGTGTTTAACACCCCTAGCATTGGCGTGAGGTTAAAAAACACTGTGGCACTCAGCAATAAAAGGAACTCTCTCCCACCCTCCCACTAATGAGGATTAGACACAGTACGCACTATCAACCTGGAAAACAGCATCCAAGACACAGAAGACAACTAACTAGCAAAGTAACACAGGAATAAAGTATACATTATTATTATTATTATGAAATAACAATAACAAGTAAATAAGGGGTCACATGGGGAAAAGACAGGAGTGGAAGTAGTCAAATCAAATATAAGCAGTAACTGTAACTACAACTAAAGACTAAAAATAGTAAGAAAAAAAAGATGAGAATGTAAACAACAGGCAAAGTATGAGTATAAAAGTATAAAATATTTATTAGTTAAACAGAATATGTGGTTCTGTGAAAGAGCAAAAACACAAAACTCCATTACAATGTTGGGTCGAAAACAAATAATAATAATAAAAAGACAAATCTAAAATAAAAAAGTGGCTCTGCAAACTTGTGGTTAATATAATATATATAACCAACTGAAAATGTAAAAGCTGATCTAAATGTTATATATTAACAGTTAAAACACTGGTCTAAACTTAGCCACGGGGAGGCCAGTGCACTTCTAGTACCACTGGCCTGACAAAGAGAGTTTTAGAACATGAGTTTGAAATCAAAGGGGTGATGAGGAGGGTTTGGGTAGGTATGGTGTTAAGGAGATGTGGAAAGAAGAATGGAAATGGCTGTGGTGAATACATACTTCATGAAAAAGATGCAGTGTGAAAGTGATAAGAGACTCAAAGCTTTTGTTGGGAGAATGTAGCTAGGAAGGTTTACAAGATAGTACTGAGACCTGGCATGATGTATAGCTTGGAAACAATAGCGCTAACAAAGGCAGAAGGAGGAGCTGGGGGTGGTAGAGTTGAAGATTTTCATCGGAAGTAAGTAGGATGGACAAGACTAGAAATGAGTACATCAGCAGACAGCTCAGACTGAGTGGTTTAGAGACAACGTTAGAGAGGCAGGATGAGATGGTTTGTACATGTGCACAGGAGAGATGCTGGATATATTGGACAAAGGATGTGAAGGAGGACATGCAGAGGGTTGGTGTGACAGAGGAGATTACTTATAGATATACTTTCATTATTACAAACTGGGTACATCTATTTATATAAGCAATCACCTGTCTAAAAACATGCCAGAAATTAGGGGGCTAATAGAAGAACCTTGAAGAACCTCTTCTAGCACACATGGTTTATTGGCCAGGTTTCACCACCTCACCGGACTTTCCTTTTGGCTTAGGTGTGTTCTGTTAAACGCTTATTTGATGCCACGCTGTACATCAGTTATATTTACAGCACGCAATGTCTGTCACAGCAAGTTTTGTCATACTCTGTCAGTTGCATGTACATACAAGTTGTTGTCGGTGCTATTGAACAGTATCACTACCAAACCAAAGCTCCTGATAGTTCTAATTAGACCAAAGCATTTCTTCCTATACTGAGTGCAATCCCTTAAATAGCAGTTGCAAATTCTGAGAATTTATGCTGAGGTCCAGGGTCAGTTTGAACCCTGCCCGTGGTAGGGTTTAAACTGGAAGCTACACGTGTGGGATGAGTTTGCTCTTTAGTTGCTACTGCAGCACCTGAAGTAGGAAATGGGGCCATCTGTGTTAACACGTTCTGCTGAGTTCTCTCTGAGCCAAGTCATAAATTTCCCTCAAGTGGTAGCAGTAACACCGCAGGCTGATCTGTCAATCCAGCGCCTCTGCCAGAACTCGTGCAGCTGATGCCAAGTCTCAGCTTGTCTGCAGTGGTTTTACACCAGCAGCCTGTAAGGAGAACTGAATGTAGTGCTTACTTGACGCATCCTTTGGAATGTCTTGTTGGTTGGTACAAGTGTTTAGATCATCCAAAGACATTCGCTCCAGTGTGTGTAACCCTATAACACCAGCAGGGACAGTAATTAGGACAGGCTGACTTTCTGCAGTCCATCCAGTCTTTACTTCTCCATAAATCAGACTAAAATATACTTTATCACTTTATGCTAGCACCCATCACCGCTGACATTTGCACACTATTTGCTCTTTGGCAGGATGTTTTGCAGGTACGGTATTGTCCAAAAGTCTTGAGCAACATGTGCAAACATACATGGAAATACAGAAACCAAAAACAGAGTGTACAGTTCTAATAAGCATAAAAGTCAATATTCGATGCAAACATCTTTATTCTTCAACACAGCTCCAACTCTTAGGCAGGCTACTCTTTAATTTCCATTTACCACACTGGTAAATGTAAGGTCCTTATATAGGAGCAACTTGGGGTTCAGCAGACTGGAAAAGCAAGCGATGAAATCAACCACCAACTGCACCAACCTTCAAGTTTGTACATGACCTGCCCTGCCTCCTGATCCACAGTCAACCCACTGCTTCAGTGATGTTGAGGTCCAGATTTTGGGGAACCCAATCCAGGACTGACAAAGGGCTGTTGTATGTGTTTTTCTATCCAGGTATGCTTTTACTGCATTGGCAGTAAGTTTAGGATCAATACCAAGATATGCCAAGTTTAACGCTAATATCTCTGGGAATCACCTTGTTGGTGGAAAAATACAGTTTTATACTTGTTATCGTTGGCATTTTTATAGTTTCAACTGAAGAAATAGGAACAAATTTATGTGTTTTTGTGACAGGCTGAGATTTAAAATCTGTTCTTTGCTCAGTTGTCTGTTAAGTGTAGGTACAACACAGATTCATCCCAGGATTTCCTGCTCTCTACCAGAAAATCCTGAAAGAAAGGTGTTGGAGTGGCCTAGTCAAAGTCCAGATTTAAATCTGACTGAGATGCTTTAGCATGACTTTAAACAAGCCACTCATGCTCAATAACTCTCAAGCAGTTCTGCAAAGAAGAGTGGGCCAAAATTCCTCCACAGTGATGCGAAAGACTCATTGCCAGTTATCACAAACACTCGATAGCAGTTTTTGTTGCCAAAGCTGGCGCAACCAGTTTTTAGGTTTAGGGAGTAATTACTTTTTCACACCCAGCCAGGTAGTAAATCAATAATCATCATTAAAACAGCATTTTGTCTTTACTTGAGTTATCTTTACATAATATTATAATTTATTGGATCATCTGAAATGTGCAACAAATATGAAAAAAAGAGAAATTAGGAAGAGGGCAAAAGCTTTTACACACCACTGTAATCTTTTGTCAGTTTTGGTTATTCTACAACTCAAGAATGAGGATCATTCTTTATACACTCCCTGGCTCACAACATGTCAATTACAAGCCAACAGGCAAATGGTTTCACAGATCCACCACTCGCTTCACAAACCAAGGCCAACCAGACAGAGGTGGATTATTATGAACTTTGAATGATGCAAAGCGAGTCTAGTAGAGTCCAAGAACAAAAAAAGGGAGTTTGAAATAACCATGCCGACTGTGTCCTGAAGTGATGATGGACTGTTGTTATCTCAGCTGTATTTAATTTTCCACATTATTTCCTGTGATAGTTTCCTACCTGTGGTGCAGTGGTTTTTAAGAAAATTCCTGGCTTGAACCCCCCCGTTGAACATTTTTCCAGTGAATGTGTGTACTGCACTTTCCTCCCACAGTCCACAGACAGGTATAGTAGTCCATGTGATGGACCTTGCCAGTTGTAGCGTGCTGAAGGTCAGCTGGGACAGGCACACATTCAAAGCATCAACATTCTAAGCAGATTATAGCATAAAATAAGACCGTTATGGTCCTATCTCTTATCATTTCCCTTTAATGAGAGGAACGTCCAAACCATTGACTCATGCTGTTATTCAATATATGGGATGTTGGAATAAAAAAAAATGATTAAATAATCAAATCCATGATGGATGCACAACTTTGTGAACTGGAAAAACTCTAGGTCTTGTAATGACTAAGTCACTTAGGTTTATGAATATTGAGTACTGACATTAGGAATAGTCTGAAAATGATTCAGCACATTAAACAGACACCCTCGGGTGCCGCCAAGTGGTGAATACTAACAGCTGCAACGTTGCTGCCCTGTCAAGCAGCAACTCTCCCAACAACTGCACAACGAAACAGATTCAGACAAAAGAGGCTTTTATTATAATAGAGGATATAAAATAAATATACATGACTTCTTCTCATTTAACAGTCATTTGTACAGTGAAATTTGGACAAGTTTGCTAAAAGCAGCTAAATAAATTTTTACTTTTTCGGATTTTCGCTTTTTCGCCGACCTATTGCTGCTTTATCTATAAACACTATGAAAAGACAATACCATTTAGGCCATATGTATATTTCAAACTCACGCTCACACGCACTCACGTAATACAGATAGAATGTCAAAAATGGACAGACACCCCAACCTGCAAAGCATTACTCTGATGTACCTTACAAAAAGGTACTTTTTGTAAATACCAGTTTTCAAAAACACTATAAGCCTTCAAAAATGAACTAAAGCTTTCAACAGGATGTGAAGAAACAGCTGCCATGAAAACATCTATGCAATGTGTTAAAGAGATAACAAATGAAGTTAAACTACGACCGTGCCGTACTTCCTTGCAATACCAATTTGTACCACAAGGTGGCGCAGCAAGTCAGTGTCACCTTAATTTAACCAGGCAAGTAATTATAAGCACATTCTTATTTACAATGGCGGCCTGGGCAAAGAAAAGCATCTTAAAAAAAAAAAAGTGATTTTTATTGAAAGCTTTAGTCAAAATTTGCAGATGGTAATAACAAAAAAGGTTTTTAAATAACAGTTACTTTTCTGCTTCCTCTCTAATTCCCCCCTCCCCACCCCCCTCCCACAATGGGACAGAGGGTCAGTGGAAACATTTTGTGATTTTCACGCCAATTTTTTTTTTTTTTTAAACGCAAATGGCATCACTTCTTTCAACTCTGCAGATGGAGCGTCTGTCCGCCTGTACAAAGTGTTGCGAGAGCGACAGTAAGTGCTTATGTTCTCCATTGGAAAAAGACAGGCACATGCAATACTATCAAAAAAGAGGCGATGTGAGAGGACGGGCAGCCTAGAGGTGCACTAGATTTTATAAAAGCGTTGTACAAGTAAGTGTCCTTCCACACACACACACACACACACACACACACACACACACGCACCTACCTTCTAACTTTCATAGCACTGCCAGAAGTTTAGTGTCTAAAGCGAGACATTAAAAAACATTAAATACCATATTTTTTATTTACCACTAGATATTTTAGCAACGACAGTGCATTAGAAGACAATTACTATATCTCAATGAGAAGTCCTTAAAATGTTTTTTATGTACAGCATTTCAAAACATAACTGCGCTTCAGTAATGTGTGAGGACGATATCTATGAGCAGAGAAAACAACAGCCAATCCTGCATCAGGATTCTTTGCAGTCAAATCAAATAGATACTTAGCTGCTAACAATATGCTACATAGTAACAAGAAAAATAAAAGACTGACAGAGGAAGTGTGAAAATACAAAATTAAAACCCCATGACAAGTTTAGCTGATGAAATTTTAAAAAGAAAAAAAAAGGCACCATCCACTCAAACTAAAACGTGGACCGTTAGTTATCATTCCTGTAAGTAAGGACAGCAACACTGTGGAACAGAAGCCAGTGAGCGATCACAGGCGTCGGCGTCACCTTCATTCTACTGTACAGTGAGGTGGTGTGAACACATTCAGTAACTAGACGTTCATTCCACGTGAGCTTATTTATGAAGAGGAAACAACCAGGAGCAGGAGAACTATGCGAAGGCGGGTCTGTCTGACAGAGGTCCCTTTCTATAGCTACTATAGTTAAGGCAGAGGAAAGTTCAAACATGGGTATTATTAATACATGTATGGAAAAAATAAATATGATTGTATACTATTCATATATATATGCATTTCTTTACAATAATTCTTTTAGAGTACATTTTAAAATGCTGTGGGGGGAAAAAGGACATAAATGAGAGCTGTCTTGGTCTACTGTACTCAGTATTTCACAAGAAAGGAATATACATCACCCAATAAAATATAATAAAACCTGTCAACTGCAAAACCTAGAAACAGGTAAAAGCTTTAGTCTGGGATTTCTTTGCATAGGAGTTTGTCTTTTGCTGGAGCCTCGTGCTCATTAGTAATACTTGTGACACCTCGTTTGTGTGGAGAGAGAAATGTACAACAAAGAGTCTCAACATATCCTCACTGCTACTCACTTCAACTTCAAATACGCACAGTAAAGGGAGGCCAAAACCTTTGAATAACTGCTGGTTTAGATCCCTACTGTGTGCCACTGCCCCCCCCCCAACCCCCAACCAGTGGATCTGTCTGCCAGTCTGTCAGAAAACAGTAGAAATAAAGATGAACTAAAGACACAGAGTGCAAAAAGCTACTTCATCTGGACATTTTAGGTACAGGTGCATTCCTTTAAGTTTCTCTTTAAAGCTGCAATAATCAAGATTTTTAGATAAGCAAAAGCTTCAATGACCATGCGTCCCATTAAAGGGGCCACAAAGTGATGGATCCAGAAAGAATTATAAACAGTTTTATGGAATACTCAAAGACCTTTGAACTGTTTTGATTTATTTTCATTTAAAAAAAAAAACCTCATCATAAGCTGTTTAGTACCAGCTAGCGCCAGTACATAAAGAAATTAAAGGCTGCTTGCATATTTTTCTCCATGTTAGTTACCAAGGAATGGCAACATGTCCATTTTTTTAACATGCAGCAAAAGCAACTCAGCAACACTAATGCCAGTGTGCCTTTTATGTGCACATTTTTCTTACTAGCCTGGCAACAGGAAGGTGTAACCATTGACATGCTGACTGACTGCTAGCTTTCCAAGCTCCTCAGACTGCTGCTTGTTATGGTTTTTCAGCTACTACACTCTCCACAGACATGGTTTGGAAGGTGAAAGACATTTTGCTCATCTAATCACCTTGCAAATTTCTTGAAAGATTCATAGGGAGGTGTTACATGTTGCTTTATGTCCTCCTGCCCCAAGAGACCAAAAAAATCAATTACTGCAGCTTTAAATGAGTTTAAAACATAAAGGATCCTGCCTTTGTGTCACGCAAACACTGAACAGTTCAGAATCGCTTAACATGAAGAAAAAAAAGGCATAACTGGGAGATTTTTCTATGGGCTTTAGAAACAGGACACACATGCTCTGAGCAGCTTGTTTTTAAAAATGGCTGTGGGAAAAAACCCCACAAACTAAATTTGCAGTTTTTCCACACATTTACATAATTTTAATAAATGCAGTTTAGAATAAACTAAATAAATAAAATAAAACTAAATACTATAATAAACAAAGTTATCTGAATCTAATTACTATATTTTTTAATTGAAAAAAATTAACCTGGGTCTTTCTGGTTAGGGGTAGGGTTAGGTTAATACAGCTGTTTTATGGATTTTGGTCTATTTAGCATGCTCACATTCTTCAGAAACTAAAGATATTGTGCCAAATGGGCAACAGTCCATAAAACCTCTAAAACTCTAAGACCTGTGGGACATTAACTGACATTATATTTTTGAATTTTGAAAAAAAAGGTTTGATTTTAAATAGTATCCATATCCATATCTCATCTCATCAGACAATGTATGCACTAAAAATGTAGATGGTGACCATTTACAGAAACGACCACACACTCAGATTATGTATGTCCTGTCTTAAATGAAAAATCCAGCAGTAAATTTTCAAACTTTTTTCACATTGTGGACAATTCTGACTAAAACTGTGACAAACCTAACACTAACCAAACACTAGAAAGGACTTTCTCTTGTTTAAGAATCAACAATATTTTTTTAAAACATGATTTCAAACATATTTTAGGTCAAAATTTGACATGAATCCTGTTACAAGATCCATCCAGCTTTAAATAAGCATAATTTAGCAGAACAAAATAAGCAAAACTAAGACTATTTCAATGGAAGTGACTCCAAATCCATAACATCAACCCACCTATATGCGGTTAGTATCAATGCATGAAACATAAAGCCTTAAAAAAGTTCTATTCAGTGGTAAAATTCTAATGATGTTACTAATGTAACGCGGGTGGGTACTTTTAAGCATCAGTGAACCATAACTGGACACAGAAATACAATTATTTTCATTATACACACATATCTTACATGTTCTGATTAATAAAAAAATCCCCAACACCATTATCTATTTGCATTATTACAGCTTTGATAAAGACAGAGGTCCAGTTCTCTTTCCAGCCACAAGGTGTCAGTGTTTCCTAATCAAACTGCAGGTCACACACGCAATAAACACAATGTCCCTTTTCCTCTGTATGGGGGCAAATGCAGTTAGTCAAATAACTGGGTGCATTCTTTAACACAGCATGCAGGGTGGTCATTCATGATGGAGCAAGTTGTGAATAGGGTAGAGGATAGAGGATATGAAAAGAGAAGACTTGCTCTTACTGTTGTATTGTTAGTATTATAACCCGTAAAATTAATACTAGAAATGCTTTTAGCAAAGTTTACTGTAAGTATCAAAGGTAAACATACTATATGAACTAGTTCATAGTGTTACATACTGTGTAGGTAGCATTTTTTTATTTTATTTATTTATTTTTTAACAATATATTGTGGTGCAGATAATAATCTGCATAATAATTTTAACTAGTCCATGCTGCGCATTGCCACTTCTAACAGTGAAAAACAGCCTCAAAGACAATTTTGTATGTGAACAGATCCCTAATAACTTTTCTGTAAACACCTGAAAGAAATTCTGAACAGGAAAATCCCCATATAAAAAATCAGATTTTCAAAAATACTGAAGACAAATTGGTTTGTGTTTAAAAAAAATAAGATATGATCAATATGATCTTCTGAAATGTAATGAAAAATTACTTGAAAAAGAAGACTTTGTGCTTAAGGAAGAAAAACATTTTTGTGGTAATGCAGCCATTATGTTTTGCTCATTACCAAGAGTTAGATAAAAATACTGATATCACACTCATGTCTGCAGCAAAATTTAAAAATGTTACTAGCAGCCCATCAGTTTAGCTTAGCATAAAGACTGGAAATAGGGGAAAACAACTAGCCTGGATCTTTTTTTTATTTTATTTTTATTATTAGTATTATTGTATTTATTTATTTATTTATTTATTACAGGCTACAAGCACATTTTAGCTCATAAGTTAGCATGTTATACATCACTAGTTTGACCTACACAAAACACTGAAGTTTAAAGTGTCATACAGATAAGTTGTTCTGAGAAGTCGTTTAAAAAAATAAATAGTAAACGTATTAAAATGTCCACATATAACATCATTAGCTTTAAAAAACAAAACCCATGAGCTTAAGAAAAGCTGTTATCCTCTAATAGCCCCATGCTAGCTCCTTTAGTGTTTCCAGGATTTATGCTAGACTAAGCTAATTAGCTACCAGGAATGGCTCTACACTAAAGATACAGGCAATGTTGGGAATTACATTGATTATAATAGTAATATAGTGATAATAATAGTAGTTGGCAGGTTGTGCTACTAACAATGTAATACATTTATTGTGACATTTATTGTGACTTTTTCACTTTCTACATTTCGGAAGAACAATTTTGCTGAATTTCTAGCACTGAAAGGCATTCCTGTCTCACAACTTGGCTTGGTACCACCCACATGATAGACTCAGGTTGCACAGAGCAACATACATTGATTTGACTAGGATGAAAAGCGTTGTCAAAAACACCAGTCAGAACTTGGGTGAAGGGGTGCCAAATGACTGGAGGGTGTCTCAGTACAGACACAGGCTCCATTGAGATTGACATTCATATTTGACCCAACAGTTTTGCTGTCCCTTATTCATAACGATATTTAAAAAAGGCAATTCCTGCACAGGGAACAGGAGTACGGCAACCCTGGGAGTGTTATACTCTACATAACTTATTTAATTGACATATATACTATATTCAACACTGTGTTCTGACTAGAGAACTACTAGTCAGAACACAGAGGGTGGGAGTGGGCATATCAACCTGGTCATTTAAGTCTCAGCGAGAAACCAGAGTGTTTCCCTCACAGCTTCTTCAATTGTAGCACTTATTAAATGTCCTTCATTTCACTTGATTCATTTCAAGTTAATTCATTAATTCAAAATGAACTCAGACATACAACGGGTTGTATACACTGGATATAAAAATGTAAATAAGTTGCTCATACCTCCATGCATGTACTAAAGAAAGCACCCATTGTCTTTGAATGTACCCCAGTCTCTACCTGCCTACTCAGTGTCGCACCGCAAGGGTGAAGTGGAAGAGGGCGAGCCTCACATTTGTTCCAGCTCTTTGCAGATCGGTTCAGTGGTCAGTGCAGTTCTAGTAAGTAAAAGGATAAACAACATGCATAAAAAACATACTGTACACACACACACACGTGCACACGCTCATACACGCCCACGGGACAACAGAGATAACAATAAAACCTTAAAAAAAACAATCTGACATCAGGCAGTAACAGTCTCAAGAAGCATATGTCGGAGGGGGGGAGCGTACTGTTTAGCTGCCCTGTACGATTATGCGCATCTTCAGAAACCTTAAATGTTTCAAGGGTCCAAAATAACACAGGTGTCACAGCAAAGTGAAAACCAGCGAACAAGAACACACTCCGGAGCTGCCGGCCACCAACAAGAGGTGTCAAAACCTCCCGAAGACGCTGCCATCACAGGAAACAAAGCTCAGCTGTTAAATGGTTCTTACTTCTAAAAGTGATGGCGTGATCACATTATACAGAAGCTGTAAAAAGACAACTGCTTTTCTTACATTCCAAATCCAAATCTAGATAAACACTTCTAAATATAGAAACCCTATAATATCAAGATTTAAGTTAATTTTTTTTATATTTCCCTGCAATGACATCAGCTTAAAAGCAGAGTTTTTTTTCTTTGTAGAAACTTTTTTCTTAAAAGGTTGGGTTTAGCTCAAACTTTAGCTTATTGTCATTTGATTATCCGTAATAATAATACACTAGAGATGACAGTAAAGGGCTTTTCCTTTTAAGTTGCCTCACATCTGATCGCTTCTGGATGTAACAATATTTATAATGACATCAACTATCAAGTTAAACTTGAAAAGTCTAGCAAACGAGCAGGAGAAAAAAACTCAAATAGAAAAAGGTGCTATATAATATACTTGAACACAGCTGCAATTCTTCCTGGTGAGGAACGTTGTGTTTGTAAGTGCCACGGTTCTGAGTCTGTGTGTGAGACGCCTTGACATCTATCTTACACCTTTTTTTTCCCAGTTGATTTAAAAGTGTTTGAACGCGCCGATGAGGCAGAATTTGTTTTCTCATTGGATTTCGTTTGGTTCCTATGTTCATCAGCCTTCATGTTACAGTGCCGCTGAAGGCTGTCGGGCGAAAGGTCAAAGGTGAGGGCAGTTTGAAAAGAAGGATGGCTGGAGTTGGAATGATGTAATGCAGGGACAAGGGTCCAACCGGGACACGGGAGCCATGGAGCTGAGGTTGTTGAGGGTTGGCTGAAGACAAGGAGGAGCTTGACTCCTCTGCTGGTAAGGGAGTGACAAGGATCCTCAGTAACGGTGGGTCTGGTGGGAGTACTGGGAGCTCTGCTGGGTTGATGATGAGTATCCCATGGTGCTCTGGGGTTGAGTGGAACCTTGGACATTGCTTTGGTAACCAAGGCGGGAGCCAGAGTGCTGAAAGAGAGAGAGAAGTGGAGACGCAGCCGCTAAATCACCAGACTTCTTATCAGCAAACATTCAAACAGTGACTCTGGAGGTGTGCAGGCACATATTGTGTTTTTAAGGCTACATCCAGACATTGCGCTAATGAGCGCCACTTCCTTCCAGATTCAGTTGTCTGCAGCTAATTAACCTTTCCTCATAAGCTGTTTTCCACACGGATTTCAAAAAAATTGGGATTATGATATTTCCCTGTGTGTTCAGTGGCTCTGGAATTATTTCACTAGTAATGAAAAAAAAAAGCCTCATTTACACGCTCGGAGACATGGACTGTAAAAAGTACTGGTGTTGAAATTTCAACGACCTGGATATTGCTTTGAGAATCTGAGACCTCAACTGTTTGCATGCCTCCATACCACAGTTGTGAGTTCTTGGCTACACTGTTCCAGATTAGGGAAATGATCGGTGGGTGGTGCATGGTGGAATATATGTGTATAGAAATCAATAAAGGGAAAAAGTAGGACACCACACACACTGACAGTAGCAGCTATAGCCACACTCGTGATGTGTCTGACCACTGCGACAGTTTATTTATACATCAACTGAGGCCTGACAGCCACCAGCTGTGTCACTTGCAACTAGGCATATCTCTGTATGCAATATACTTGTGTGCCTCGCTGATACAGAAGCAGGAGAGGTCAAAGCGGTCACTTAGATCACACCGTGCTCTGTTAAGTACTGACACATGATCTCCCTGCTCCTGTGGTCATGTAACGCTCAAACCTGAGCTAACCCCATACGTTGCTGATTAGTCGCTGATCACATTTATTTTCTGCAGCAGTCGGGTTCTCCTCCTTGAAAGTCAAAATATGTCATATGCCAAACTTTGGTATCCAGCTTCACTTCATCACAGGCCGAGAGCTGTCGTCTCTTTGGCCTCGTGATAAGAGCTGAGCCGGCGATACAGGAGGCGCCTGAGCAGAAAACAAAAGCTCACAGGCTCCATTGTGATTTGATATCAGCTCTGTACAGTCCTTATCATTTAAACAACATCTTGTTGTTGTCTGGTATCTGAGTGTTTGGGTATACATTTTTTAGCCTGCAGCACTATGTAAGCATTCTCAGCCCAACAACATGTTGGTTCATGTCTTAATACGTTTAGATTTCCCTATCCTGACTACCTAACGCAGGTTTTTTCCTTCTGAAGATCATGTTAGTTTCTTAAAGCACGTACTTGCAATCAAACTGAACTAGAACAGGAGTTTGGAGTGTCTCATTTTCAGTGCTGGAATGGTACATCCTGCTGTGGTCGACCTTTTATGCTTTTATATATATTTTTCTTCACATATACTGTTACACTGAGGGATGTTCATATTAAACAAGCCTTCAACCTGCTCTAAACACTAGGTTTAAGACAGTTTTTTATGATCGTTTCAGGGTTCAGGTACTATGAGCACAGAAGCTGCACTCAATCAGGACACAGTTAGTTTGAAGGGACGAGGAAGACAGCTAAAACAGCTTGTTTCAGTCAGATGATAAACTCACGTCTGTGCCAGAATAACACTACAAAGGAGAACTTGGAACTCATGCACAGCTACTCATGCAACTAATAGAGTCCAAGAATGAAAGTCTGGAGCAGGAGATGATTATAATGGACTCATTTCTCGGGCGATCGTGGCTCAAGAGTTGGCCATTTGCCTTGTAATCGGAAGGTTGCGGTTTGAGCCCTGGCTCGGAGAGTCTCAGTCGTTGTGTCCTTGGGCAAGACACTTCACCCGTTGCCTACTGGTGGTGGTCAGAGGGCCCGGTGGCGCCAGTGTTCGGCAGCCTCGCCTCTGTCAGTGCGCCCCAGGGTGGCTGTGGCTACAAAGTAGCTGCCATCACCAATGTGTGAATGGGTGGATGACTGGATGTGTAAAGCGCTTTGGGGTCCTTAGGGACAAATACAGGCCATTTACCATTCATTTAATAGAGTTTTAAAGTACAGACAAATGAAGAGTTTCACCAGAAAATGTTGGTGTTGGTGTTTGTTCTATAACATTGTACTGACCTGGTAATCTGACTGTAGCACCCCAGTGCCTGAGGAGGCTCCAGAGGGTCCAATCCGAGGTTTCTTGTTGGGTGGCCCCTGGTCCTGACCGTGCTGTAGCGCTGCAGTGGTGGCCCCCGTTGCTCCGGCGGTGCCGTTGGTTTGAGCAGAGCTCTGCTGGGAGGGGGCCTGCTGGGCTGCTGTCTGCTGCTGGTTCTGGGCCTGAGCCTGGCCAGTTGTCTGCTGGTGCTGCTGGGTCTGGTTCTGCACAAAGACACACAAAGCTGAAAGTAGGACGGGATTTATGGAGTGGAGAAAGAGAGACGCTGTGGCTAAAAGCAAGTGTGTGGAATGATCTCGGGTTCTTGCTGAAAACAAGAAACCAAGATTTCGCTCTATTTTTAGCTGTAGGTTGTTCTTTTCTGCATCTGTGACCCACTTTCCCGCTCAGATGACTGGATTGAAATGCAGCTCAACAACATGAGTTTAGAGTTTTAAGGACGCATAAAAAAACGTAAGTAGACCACAAGAAATGTTAACCTAATGAGCCTAAGGAAGGAAGGAAACTTATACTAACTCATCTGAGGATGAGACAGTAAGGATAGCACATATTGTCTGTCTGTCTATATTGTTAATAAAGCAGCTATTACATATCTATTTCCATGTTTTGAGAATCTGTTGCCCATTTATGCTGCTGGCTCAGGCCCTAAAGCCCTAAGTCTGGTTTCAAGTTCAAAAATCGAGACTGCAATGACGGACCAAAATCATTGTTATGGTTTCTGCCAGCAGCCATACCCCAGAGATGCCCCAAATGGCCCTTGGATGTTGATGCTGAGGGAATGAGACACCCTGTGTGAACATTTCAGTCCATCCTCAGGTGATTATTAAATATGGTTCACAGAAATCTGCAGCCAGTTTCTGATGCAAACATTCATTACGTTCTGGCTCATTATGTGGTTTAAAATTTAGTCAAAAAATTGAAATTTGGTGTAAAATTTTGACACAGTTGTGAATTTATCAGTTTATGGCTACAATTCAGGACTTAAGTGTGCAGTATGTTGACCTTCAAACCACCACGGGGCTTTTAGGGTCACACTTACTAAGTGGGACAAATTAGCATGATGCCACAGTCGCAAAAATGCGCTGATGGGAGTGGAAAGTTCTGAGGCGATCCCCTAACAATCTGCTTGTTTGTATACAAAAATGAAGGCGGTCACATCAACAATGACCAGCATTCTACAAAGAACACGGCAGATTACAAGCATATGAGCTACAGTGAGAAAGTGAATAATGAGCGTAGGCACAGGTTTCTTTCCAGAGACAGCATAAGACCATGAAATCATTCAGAGCAGGGACCCAGTGAAGAGTTGTAGGACACAGCCAAAGTTTGGCACTGCACTCAAAGCTGTGACCCATCCAACGGCACAATTATCTTTCCTCCTTTCAACCCAAATAAATGACACCTCTTAAAACACCATCAAGCACAATTAAGACAAGCAGAAATTCTGAGCCACAAACCTTGGTAAATCAAGCAACAAGTACTTTTCTTTGAAAAAAGAAAAGAAAAACATCCCATGATCCACTTACAGTGGGCTGAATTTGTCAGTTTGCTCACTTACAAACAAACAAACAGCCTCTAATTTTTATGGTTATTTCATTTTAACAGAGACAGAATATCAACCAAAAATCCAGAAAAGCTAGAAGCTGATTACATTTACATTTCCCTGAGTGAAATAAGTATTTGATCCCCTACAACCCAGCAGGACTTCCCGTACATTGCACATGTCCCCGTGTGTCCACAGAATCAATGTCTTCCATTCCAGCTTCTCTGCCACCATGAACAAGAGCAAAGCAAAGATATCAGACTTGCACAAGGCTGTCACCAAGAAGCTTGGTGAGACAATGATAACTGTTGGTGCGATTTCTTTAAATGGAAGAAATATAAAATAATATTCAGTCATCCTCGGTCTGGAGCGCCGTGCAAGATCACGCCTCATCAGGCGAGGATGAAAGATGGTGGATCAAAAATATCTGAAAAACTGCATTTAGTCAATATAATGGCAGATATAGTGACTAGTGTATTTTAGTATGAATGTACAGCATGATGCGTAATCCTGCATGTAATTTCAAAAAATCAGCAGCTTTCACTTCAGTCTGCAATCAACAGTTTGGGTGTTGTACTGATTTGGAGCAGCCAAATTATTTTGTTTATGTTGTCTATTATTGATTGTGCATGTCCACACTTTATGCTGACAGGAAGTCCAACCAAAACAGTGCAAGCCGAGCTCCTCAAACACTCTGTTCTATGGTGTAAAGCTCAGATGTTTTCCAGCCAGCAGCTACCAATATGATGTAGGAACAGCGGTCACATGGAGCCATCGGCCTCTGCCTCAGTGCTCACTCTCTCATTAGATTTCACAACAAAAATCTTATCTTAATCTTAGCACCTTTGAAAAAAGGCTGCGCTTTTTAAGCTGCATGCAAAGCAACAATGAAATACAGAGGGCCAGGACGGTCAGCCTCCTCATGCACACTGTACACCATGTACAGTGTGTCCCTGCCTCTGGCAAAGTCGCCGCTAAATGCCTGCACTGAGTTATTACACTGTAAAAATAACTCAAGGGACACCGTTGACTCAACTAAGATGCTGCTTTCTAAGAACCAGTAGTACTATAACCTCATATCACTCCAGTAGATAACAATATCTGTTCTTTATGGCTGAAAGGGAGAGTGCCTGGACACATTTGGAGCTACCACTTGGAATAGCAAAAGTACAATCCACTAGTGAAAAGCTGTACATTAAGACTTTTTCAATTCAACAGTCCCCAAAATTTCTACAGAAAAAGCCTGAAAAATAAATGCAAGACTTTGTGAGGTGCGCATTAACCCATAAAATACACCAAAAACTGCCACATTAGCCCCCATTGATGACTTAAGATGGGACGTTAAGTGAACTGACACAATACCGATCGATGTTTTAGTTTCTGAAAATGTGACGGTACTTGTATTTTTTTAACCATGCAGATACTGCAGGCAGTATATATACCAAGAAGGGTTGTCCAAATATCTATACTCTAGTGCTGAACATTAATATCAGCTTAGGTATTCGAACATTAGCAGTGCCACAAACCGTGCCGTCTTCACACGCAGCTTCGCACAGCACTGCTGCAGACAGGCGGGGACACAGCTCTTTCTCTCACTAACAGCTTAGCACATGAACAGTAGCACAACAAAGCATCTCAAAGACTGACATCCCAATCTTTATGAGGATGTTTCTGAGGTGTTAATGTAGCCATGTAACTATTAGCGATAACCTAAAAGCTGCATTCGCCGCCAGTGAAGTTATCTGTAAGGCAGCGGCTAGACTGCCTTACAGTCTAAGGCACAGGATAACTGGATAACACTTACCTTTTCTGTTTTCTCCTCTGGCTCGTCTTCATTAAGAAATTCTCGTTTGGGGTAGGGGATCTGACAGCCAGCAAACACACTAGAAGAAAACAGATGACATTAGTGATTGAAGCACCAACACGAAACACTGTGTTGAATAAAGTTTGCAAAAGTTTACTAAGGCTCACTCAGTGGTTGGTAATGGGTCCTCTAGGAAGTACGGGTCCTGCAGCGCCTGCTCTGATGTGATTCTTTTAGTCGGGTCCATTGTGAGGAGCTTTTGGAGCTGAAGGCAAAAAATAAGCATGGTTACAAGATCCACACACACACACACACACACACACACACACACACACAAACACACACACACACACAAACACACACACACCTGATCAGTGTACAATAGGAAAATACAAAAAAAAGGTGGGGCCAGGGCTTCCTGATTAGTGGACTTTCAAAATAAGACTATTTTATTAAGTATTAATAGTATTAGTATACGTGTTTACATAGTTATACTGTGTGCACCTGCACCTCATTTGGGGAATAACAGCCCAGTCCATGACCCTTTAAAGTTTATTACTTTTAAGGTGAGTTTAATGGTTAATTAGTTAGCAGTTACAGTTAGGGTTGGTCACCAGGAAATGGACATAATGCCTCTAAAGTAACTGAACTAAGATATATGTGTGTGTGTGTGTGCACTTACCAACAAGAACACCTTGCTGTCTGGTTTCACTTTATGCTTCTCCATGTATTTGATTAAGCTGCTGTTTGCATACCTGTTGGATGACAAATGACAGCATATGTGATATTTCATTTACAAGTCTACAAGCTCCCCGATTATAGAGAGGTCATTAGAGCGGCCACCCACGTCGTCCTCCTGAAGTCTTTTTGCAGTGTGGGGTACTCTGGCATCTTCCTGATGTCTTCCCAGTCTTTATCTGTGAAAGACACAAGCACGTGACTAAGTTAACACTTTTATCGATACACTAAACAATCTCTTGTATATGTGTGTGTGTGTGTGTGCAGACCTGCAGGGAAACCCATGACACTAAATATCCTGTCCAGCTGGTCGTGATGGAATGGGTTACTGGTCTTGATGTCTTCCTGGCGACAGTGAAAGATGGGCTCCGATGTTAGCAGCTCCGCAAAGATGCAGCCAATCGCCCAGATGTCTGAGACACGCACACATGTAAACAGACAACACTTAGTCTCATTATTGTGGAGATACACTAGCTACAATGGCTAAATCTTCCTGGATTACAGGAAGTCATTTTTTTTCTGCTGGAATATTGATGTTAGTGTTACTTGTTACTGCTTAACTACCTGCATTGAAAATGCTACGTCCAGATGAACAGAATCAACCTGTGAGTAGATTCTGCATTCCTCTGTAAGCGTGACCTACCTAAACAAAATTTCTTACCAATTCTGTTTTTTTCCTCATTATTAGAACTGACAGCATACACAACTGAAACTAAACAACTGTAGTTTCTCTCACTGAAACAACTGAAAATAAAGTGTCCTGCTACTGGAAAGAGGTGCAAAAATGTAATGAACGCAGGCTGCTGTACGCTCAGCTCTACCTGGCATGTTACCTTTCCAAACAAAAGAAAAAGAAATGTCAGTTCCACGCATCATTTTTCCAGTGTGTTTATAACTTCACTAGATAACCAAATATCGACAGTTTTCTCTTTTTCACTCATCGTCATAATTTTAGCCACGTTGCCTGAAATTAGAAAATGTCAGCTGGATGATTTAAGCATCTGTCTTTTCGTCACAAACATTTTCATGGTGGTCGCTACTTTGGAGAACTTTTACACTCACGGTGAGGATCCTCCACAGTGGCTGTGACACAGTGGAGTGCATCTATTTGCTTGCGCTGCCCTGCACGTTTTGTGCATGCGTGAAATGGGCCGCCTCATAATCGGACACACGTGAGGCTGACCGGCCGGTCACCACACAGGGCGGAGAAAGCTGGAAAATCGGCTGATTCTATACTCTGGCCAACTGATTGGTGCATGTCTGTTTTTTGTTTGTTTTTTTTTCCATTTCCTTGTTGTACTGCATTATTTATTATGTATTTTCAAAGCCCGACTAGGGAGAGTTGTTGGCTCCTCTTTTAAACTTGTTTGAATTAAGTGTTCTGTTTTTGTATGTCAAGACACTTACATGTTACATGATGTGAATACAATGCAATGGTGAGTCATTGCTAACAGCCTAAGTTGACTTCCATTCAATGGACTGACGTGGGAAGATGTAAGATACTAAGATTATAATGGAACATGTGCTCCACGATTGATTTATTCTGATGATGTCCATGGATCACATGAGTACTTTGAACTTATCAGCTGTGCATGTAAACCAAGAGACCCTGCTTCTAAAATCACAGCTAATTCTGTCAACTAACACAAACATGATGCAGTTAAGCAAACAGCCAGGGATCAAAGTCCTGCCTTGGTGCAGAGCGTTACGTTTTTTTCATCTGTGTGACTCACCAATAGCTTTGGTGTAGTGCCGGGCCCCCAGCAGCAGCTCCGGGGCCCTGTACCAGAACGTCACTACCACGGGGTCAAGGTCCGCCAGCGGCTTCAGCGGAGAGTTGAAGAGTCTGGCGAAACCCATGTCAGCTACCGAAGGTGCGAAAGAAGATATACCCAGTTAGCAAACAAAGGCATTATCAGATAGAGATACGAATGCATGTTCAAGGCTGCTGTCAGAGCCACGGGTTCTAGACAGAACCTCGGGCGTCTCTCACACCGCAACTAAATATGAAACTTCCACAACTGTAAAGTTGAACAAGGCAGGCTTTTAATGTCAAACCACATCTGTTCTACTTAGCATGAAAAGACAGTATTCTTTCCTTTTAGCAAAAAAATCCCTTGCTAAAATGGTAATGTGAGAAATAGATCAATTTCCCACTCGTAAAAAAGTACCTTAACAGAAAACATAAAAGTTACACATAAATATTTAACTCTGCCTTATTCTAGTAAAGATTAACAGGAAACTGGCACAAACAGATTCTCTTCCTGTGTCTTTCTAACAGACAGCAGAATAAGGTACAGCTCCACTAGAACCTGGTCAGTGGTCTGTGTATGGCTTTTAAATAGCCAGTCACAAACACACACCAGTGGCTGCAGAGATTACAAGTTTTCCTGCTGTTGCTGCTGTCATTTTGGATTGTGGAGTTGGGATTGGAAGGACTGCTATTGCAAATTGGAATTCCGACTTCCCACTTCGAATGGAGCACACCATTAAGCAAGATATGCTTCACTACCACTATGAGTGTGCAGTGTCCTTGGCTTCTCAGTCAAATGTGATTAGTTTCAAAACACCAGCATTCTGTTGGTTTGAGTTACATCAGAGAAAACTTACAGTAAGGATAATCAAGCACCACAATAATGAGTGCACTGAGTAATATGGAACGTAAATCCATCCTTATCAAATTAGTCGTGTTTAAATGGCAACAGCATGAGAAGAAGAAAATGTGACACTGTTTTGTTTTTTGTTTTTCAAGTCACATTTCTGGGATCTACAGAAGTGGGATTATAGTCTTATATGGATACCAAAGATGGGTAGTCTTATTGTGCCAACTTCTATATGCGCAGTAAATAAATATGCTAATATTGGACAATGCTAATTGGACATTTCACTGTTTTTTTAAATGACTTTAAAGATGCATTGTACTGATCATAGAACTGATCACAGACTGTATGTATAAGATGGGAGTAGCATCTGAGTCTGAAAATGGAAAGCCTATACAGTAATCCTTTAAATCTGCATTTTTTGTAATGGCCAGTAAGGGGCAACTGGTTGGTTGTACAAAGAAGTTGATGGGAAAACACCTCTCAGCTGACCTCAGTAAACTCTGAAGTCATAGATTGAGTGAGGTGAGATCATGATGAATAATGCGCTCAGTTGCCAGATTCAGGTCTTACTGAATATAATTAAAATGTTAATTAGAATTAAAAGTAAAACTTGTCACTGACACTGTTCTTGGATGAGCCTTGTACAGAGCTTTGCATCCGCCTACTAATGATACTAATGATGATGATGATTCATAATGAAACGTTCACAGAAAATACAACACTGACTGTAAAGCAATATCTACAGGAACAAGTAAGGCTGAAAAAGTTGTTCGCTTAACCAACGTGCATTCAAATACAATTATAATGAATGTGATTTCTGATAGTTCACATTCTCCTAAAAAAATGAATGAATGAAAGTTGGAAATGAATAAAATGAACATCCTGCTCCATGTAACTATTAAGATATTAAACATATTTATTAAACCACAGCAGCCTTGTGGCTTTCATTCAAGTAAAACCTTTACCAGCACCAGTTGCAAAGACTCTGGCTGCACTGGAACAACACTCTATGCTATTACTGGGAGTACGGGGTTTAAAAATAGATGCCAGCAATGCAGCATTACCCTTCAACACTCTCCTGGCCAGCTGGCTTATGCAACAGGACTGATTTGAGCTTCCTGTCTGCCTCTCTGGACAAGGTTAAACGTTGTAGCTATCAGACAATCAAACACGTCAACAACCTAATTGATCCACTTTCGTGCTGACACAAGTACCTAAAGGTTGTGTAAGTTTCAAATCAGTCCAGCAGTTTAAATGATGTTTTTTTAAATTTACTTTACCAATTTTAACTCTTCCTCGTTCGGGGCCTTCCCCCATCACCAGGATGTTAGCTGGTTTCTGTGGGAGAAAGAGACAGAACATTACGAGGTGTTGCATATACTACAAATCACTCTGTTTTTAACTTGGAAGTACAATAAATGTAAATGGTTCTAACACACAGTTGGACTGATAATACATTCAGAATACCCGTGGTATTACAGTATCAGTGGTTCCCTTTGCAGAAACATGTTGAGTGGTTATTGACTGTCCTGTTTTTGTACTGAAGCACACAACCACATGACTATGTCAGTGAGCCATTTTGCGGGAGTGCACTTAAGCCAACTGATCATACACCCAGGAATGGAGTCAAACACGCTCAAGCAGCTGGGTGTGTTCATCTGGTTTCCAGAGAGAAACTGTAACCACAAGTTCCAAGAAGTAAAAGCTTTATTAGCCAACTAAGCTGACTGCCGCCACTTATGTGGACACAAGCCATAGCCCAGCACATGCTGTGGCTTTTCAAATCACCCAATTGATATTGGTCTTTAAAATCCTATATTAGTTGTTAGGCTGAGTACATTTCACAATAACAAGAGAACAGGTTGAGTTCTTATTAGTTTTTAGGTCCAAACCTTAAAAAACATCCTAGACCA